ATGGTGGCATTTCCTATTCCCCACTATTGGCCACATTTTTTTCAGGTCTCCCTTGTTTATCCTGTCTATGGCTTGTTCGGCTAACCAGTGACCAGCCAATGTTTTCAGATGAACCAAACTGGAACTAGCTGTCAACAAGATTACATCCCTGGTCTCATGAGGCTGTGTGAAATCTCATCCTTAGGAAATACCTATTACACTCCCACAGTTTTGCTACCCAGTTCTTTTATGACCTTTAGCAAATCCCTTAAGCTTTTTCTGCTTCCCCTTGTGAACTGAGGTAATTATATTCCCCAGTCCTTTTGTATGTGAAACTTAATTTATTAATATGCATGAGATGTTCATATTCTACAGTGATGAAAGCCATAGAAGTTCCTAGATCAAATCCTTTATATATTTGAATTTTATTCATTCACAACAATGGGGAGTTTATTCCTGCTAAAAGCTTCAGTAAGCTGGACACATCCACAACATCTTAATTATATTAGACTGTAGTTCAAAAGCAACAATAATATTTAGTTCACGGTCATTTTCATGGTGACTGTATCCTAAATTCATTCAAATAATGATTGTGGAGATTGTGATTCCTGCAGGTTCCAAAAAGGCTATGTTGCCGATACATGAATGGCTAGCATGTAAATATTCTAAATGCATGCAAAATTCTGAATTTTGAATGTTTGAAATGTATAATGATTGATGTGCCATCATGATTTAGGTAATTAGCCACTGGGACTCATGGTGCTGGAATGAGCTAGTAATATTTATCGGGTGATTTTAAAGTTTTGGGTGGTTTGGCAGCAAGAGCAAGTTAACAGCACAGTGTGTTCCCATGGCCTGGTTTGAAAAGCTGGATGGGCAGGAGTGGAGGCTTAGCTGCTGTAACAGGGGTTCCCAGCATGCAAAGCCAGCTGTGACACTGAGGAACAAGCTCTGAAAACACACAGGCTGCATCTGCTCTCTGCAGAGAAGTTCACCCAGGCTCTCTTATTCTTTTTAAGTTATGTCTTCAATATGCCTGTCAGGGCTTCTCACTTTCAAAGGGGTTGAGACAAAGATGTGAGCATTTCCTCTACCTATAGCCTGAAAGCCAGGTTAACAAAAAATAACTAAAAAAATTCTTTTGCAAGGACCAGTAACAGCTTGGGGTGTGACACATATGTAAATAATTAAAATACCCATTTCACTATATAGCAACAAAATGTAGCTTAATCATAGTTGGCTCAATAATCATTAATATCCAGAACATAGCTTCTCCTAGGATTTCAAAAGGACTAATCTGCTGAGTGGAACAGCTTACAAAGGTTTACAAGCGGGGGAAGGGAGAAAAGAGATGAAGGCATCAAGGCCTTCAACCTAGGGAAAAAACAGACATGGCTTATTTTGTAAAGCATCACTATGCTTTGATGGACATTAACTTCAGTGACACTTAGTGTCCAATTGCAGTGACAGTGTCATTGGCATTGAAGGCTTTTCAGTGTAAATGTTGCAGTGTTTCCATCTCAACGTGAGGAAGAACTTCTTTACAACTTCTTTACGTGAAGTATTGCAGAGCACTGGAACACACTGTCTAGGGAGGTTGTGAAGTCTTCTCTGAAGACATCTGAAACCCACCTGGACACATTCCTGTGTAACTTGCTCTAGGTGACCCTGCCTTGGTTGGGGCAGGGTTGGACTGGATGATCTCAAGAGGTCTCTTCTAACCCAAATGATTCTGTATTAAGTACAATGCATTTTGTAATGTGAATTGCCAAGAAAATACTCATGTGTTCTCTGTGAGCATAAACAAACCTAAGCTGTAAGCTTTGATGAAAGGAAGCATCCTAGTAACAATAATGGGCATGGTACCTATTTAACTGTGCATTCATTAGAGGAGAAAGGGAGGCTGAAAGCATTTAATCTGCTCCCATCACCACCAGCTGCTGTTGTGTCAGCATTCATATCTCATGGCATTGTTTAAAGCTCAGCCATCCCTCAGTGCTACCAAATTAGAGGCTTTCAGACCTTACCTACATAATTGGAGAGAGCTGTGCTGCTGTATGTGATAGTCATAACTGCATTTTTAGGCCATTTGGGGAAGAGAGGGTGGTTTTACTTCACTCATTTCTTTGAGGTAGACTAAGTGACAGTAGAGAGAAGAGTTCCTTCTCACTCTGGGTTAGTCTGTGGTAGGCTATATTGCTGTTTTGGTTGCATCTGCTGCCTTTCCATTCAGAAAAAAAGTAGTTTGGGTGGATGCTGTCCCTTGTCTATGCTACTAGCATACGTACCATTGCTTATGAACCCCAGTCCTTATGCTTGTCTGTGATTTTATATAGGTATGCTTATGTTTGAAAGTGATCAGTTGGTCTGCAATGTCATTGTAAATACCAGTGTTATCTTGCCTAAATTCTGCAAACCTAGAAAAGAAGTCTGACTTATTTTGCTCTGAACACATTTTTGGCCCATCTGCAGAGGGTACTGCTGGGAATTTTCAAAAGGTCTGAGTGTGGCTTTAACTCTCCTGCCATAATGGTCTATGTGGTTTTCTATTTCACCAGTTTTGATTGTAACCTGGCTATGTAAAACCTTTATTCACTTTGGAATCAATCATTTGGTGACAGAACTCAGTGACCCAGACAATCTCACGGAATCCTATGTCTTCAGGCACTCGGAAAGACCAAATCACATTCAGACTGGACCATTCTGAACTGTCATCAATTCGGAGAACAATGATTTGTGCATGAGTCCCATCAGTTTCTCTGGAACCTTCTAAACCGGCAGGTTGCTCTTCTTTCCGGTGTCCGCAAAGCCTTGCGGAGAAGGGCGCTGCCTGCGGGCGGAGCGCGGCCGAGCCCGGGGCTGCAGGGCCCTTCCCAGCCCCCTGCCGCGGGGGTGAGCGGCCCCCGGCCCTGGCGAGTGCAGGTGCTGTCTAGAAATCCCCAGAATTGTAGGGATTAGTTGGGCAAATTGGGCAATAATCAGGACAAAAATAACTATAATGGTATCAGATGCTAACCAGCAATTTAAAGAGCAATATGGCAGTAGCATCACAAATTCATGGCTCAGAAACTAACCACCTCCAACCTCCTCCCCCCCAACAACAACTGAGTACAGATGGAGAAGTTGGCTGTTTTCCATCAATAGTGAGTAACCCATTTTCTCTGCTGATTGATTTGGCCTGTGCTGTTGCTCTTTTACTATTTTTTTAATGCTATTTCTGGCAGAAGGTCTTGGCATTAAACTTAATGACGAATGACAATTTAATACTTCCTCTTCCAAGTCTTGCTGACCTTCAGTTTTGCGGCAAATAATTTCTAATTTGTATATAGGAAAATACTCCAATCATTATTTTAGCACAAAAATGTGCAATTTTTAAATTGGACTGCTGAAAGTCTCTATACTAAGCTAAACTTTTGAGAAAATGGAAGTGCAGTGCACAAATATTTGCAAGTTGCTGATACACCTGATGAATCATGAAGCAGTGTTTAGGACTTCCTTCAGCTTTCTCAGCAACACAATAAACTAGAAGTAACTTGCTTTCCTTTTTGGAAAAACCTTCAATTAACTGAGTCCTCACTGTATTAACCAAACACACAAAAAATTAGTTAGTAAAAGGGCATTATCCCAAATGGAAAAAAGTAGCTAACAGCTTTTAGTTGTTACATGTATCTTTTCTTGACTCTAAATCACACTTCCTAAGGATTTGTGAGGTTCTGTTCTTTTAGACAGTGCTATAGCTTTCCTGTTCACATACTGTATTAGTTCTAAATACCTTAAGTTCATTCTGTAGCAGGAAGTAAGATTTTGAGCTATATGGATATCTTACGTTACCATTCTTCTTCTCAGAGCTCCGTAAGTCTTAAAATGCAAAGCATACAAAGTAGGAGTGAGACTGTAGAGTACACAAATAACTATTCTCTAAATTACTTCATAGTAAGTAAAATCCTGATGCTATCATTTGAACATTTGACACTACTAAGAGTGTAGAAGAAAAAAAATCCATACTATTATTAACAGCAGAGTTTCATTTAAGCCCAGGTTGGTTTTATTTTGTTGTTGTTGTTGTTTTTTCTTTTTAACCTTGCACTGTATAAGGGGAAGCACTAGAGAGGTTTAATCACGATTCTGATTTGCTTAGATCACTTGGTACTGGTTAGCCAAGGGGAGCATTTGCAACTGTCCTCGGTCCTTCTCGGTGTCATGAGCTGAGGCAGTGTCTGCACTGAAGGGACACGGTGCAGCTGTCCTACTCGTCCTGGAGAGGGCTACTCGTCATATGGCGACTTAAACACTTTGCAGGACTGCAGCACGATCACCGATGAAAGAAAATGCTTTCCTCACCTCCTCAAATTCAAAGTCATCTTGAATGCAAGTCATCTTGAGCAGCAGCAGCGCACTCTGCAGTGACACTTCTAGTAAGCTGTGCTCCAGAGCAGCCTGTGTGCTTATGCTATCGGCCTAACAGGTGCTTTAGCATCCGCCACAAGACGCGGCTTCCCTCCCTCCCTCCCGTCCCGCCCGGCCCCGCGCTCGGCCCAGGCGGGCTCCGGCAGTCGGCCGGCAGGGCCGTGGCCTGCACACGCTCAGCCCGCCGCCCTGGGCAGGACCTCGCCGTGCTTCCAGACGTACAGAGCATCCCAGCGAGCCGCGGGATGAGCGGGGAAGGGCGATGGCCAGAGCTGCCGCCAGCAGGCGGGCAGGTAGGTTACGAGGTGCCGGGGGAGGCGGCGAGCACCGGGCTGCGCGGGGCCGCTCCCGCGGGGCGCCTCTGCGAGCGCTTCTCCCTCGGGCGGGGGCGCGTCAGGGGGCACCGCCTCGCTGTGCCGGCGCCGCACCGACACCGCCCGGGGCCCAGGCTCCGCGCTCGGGCTCCGTCTCTCCGCAGCGGCGCTGGGCGAGCGGCCGGGGCCGGCGGCGACGCCCGCCTCTGCCTCCTCCCCCTCAGTGCCCTGCCTCCTCCCTCCGCCGGGCGGGCGGGCGGCCGGCTGCTCGGGCAGGGCGGGCGGGAGGCAGAGCCCGGCTGAAAGGTGTTGCTGGAGGGGAAGTTTGGAGAAGGTCGTCGGGTGCCTGTGCGCTCCGGCAGCATCATGGCGGAGCAGGGCGAGTCGCCGGTCCACGTCCAGCAGCCCCAGCCGGCGCCTGCACCCGCCGCCCCGGCCGCCGGCTGGCCCATCTGCAGGGACGCCTACGAGCTGCAGGAGGTGATCGGTCAGTGGAGCGGGGGCGCGGCGGGGCGGAGGTGGGGAAGGAAGGCAGGGATGCCGCGGCCGGCTCCGGGCCTACCGGCGCTCGCTCTCCCGCAGGCAGGGCTCGTTTACTGCGGCGGACGCACCCGGCACTGCAGCGGCGGCTGCTGCAAACTTTATCCGCCCGGCAGCGGGCGGCCCCGGGGGGCGGCGGCTCCTGCTAGAACCCGCCGTGCCCCGCCCGGTGCGGCTCGGCGGAGGCGCTGCTGTCCTGCGGTGCATCGTCACTCCAGCCTTGACATGCTGGTTTGCGCTGGGACCCCGGCAACTCCGCAGATGCGCTCTGTGTGTTTTGTGTGTCTGCGCTGTGTGTGTCCGTGGATGCGCACATGTGCGTGCATCCGCTTAGATTACTCTGCATTTTTCCGGTGCTTTCATGGGGGAGGTAAATCTCACCCGTAGATCTGCTGCTCACGTGATGACTCTCTCTCTTAATCTGTATATATACGTATATACATATTTAAACTATTTCCTCTTCTCCCTCACCGTTTCATCTTGTTCGCATCTCCTTGTGCCCCTCGGCCCTATACCTGTCGGTGGCACGTAAGGCCAGCGGGGGATTACAGCTTCGTTTTCACCCCAGCCAACCTGCTTTTGGCTTGGTTTGCCATGGAAGTTTAACCCGTCTGCTGGCCCCCTCCCATGTCCCTGTAGGTAGGGGACTTTCTTGGTTGTGTGCTTCAGCACTTCGTTCACGTATCCAGCTAATGCAGATCAGACGTGTTCAGTTTCCATTCCCTTTATTTGGATAAGGTTATTTTGAATTTTACTTTGTGAAATGCGAACCGTTGTTGAAAGTATGCGCGATGGAAAGTTTTTCATCTCTTGCCCTGGATGCTGCTTGTTGCTAATGATCTACTTTGGGAAAACTTGCTTTTATTTGTATGTAACATTTTAAACTTCTAGCAAATACTGCAGATGGCAAAGACCAGCTCTGATTTCTGTTTCTTACAAATAAGGCCACTTAAGTGAGAAAAGTCCAGGTGACTTGCCTGTTGATGCTGTTGCTTATCTTCAGTATTACACTAATTCCTAATTGTTGTCAGGTTGATGACAATCACAACTGCATGTTAGCAGTCTGGAAGTTGTGTGTTCTCAGCTTTGTCATTAAGCTTTTTTATTTTCCCCAGGCAGAAACAAAATAGTTAAGAAAAGTACTTCTTCCTTAAAATGGGATGGCTTTTTGTTGACCCAGTTGGTACCTTTGTGTTTCTGTTTGTACTTCCAGGCTGTGAATAGGGACTAAGGAGGGATGAGGGTTCAGGTGTTCAGGTCCCTGGAGGTGGCTGGCTATGTTTGGTATTGAGCAGGTGTTGCCTATGAAGGTCCCCCAAAAGTATGGGTTTACTGGACAGAGGACTGTGTCTTCCTCTGTCTGGGGAATAGATCAAATTAGCCAACTGGAAGTAATTCTACTAGCATGAAGGTGTATCTTCACCTCTTCTAAGGTGAAAAAGGCCTCAAAGGTGTAGGATTAATCCTAGTCTAGGGTGTAATATGAGTCATATGAGTTACTTAAATAATAGTTGTTTTCTGTTACAGTACCTGTAGAATGCCTGTGTGAGAATTTCCTTTAAAACCTCCTTTCCACTTCATTCTTTCTGCTTAAAAGCTTGTATCTTTTGATATGTAAACTGTAATCCTGACTGCTAACATATATTTATATACATCCATTGAATGAGTGGATGTTAAATCTGACTTACAGATACTGATCTGTAGAGAAACTTTATTGCTAGTTACCTGTGGGTGCTCCTAAATATTGATGTTATTTAACTGAATGCCTAGGGAGTAAATTGAGGTCAGGGTATATTGAATCAGATTCTTGGACACACTGAATTTGCCTGCTGTAATTTCACTAAACTTCGGTTTCTTCTATGACTTTCTTTAAAAGTTGCTGAGATTTATCTTGTACCACTTGACTAGAAAATCTTGTGCTTCAACGAACATGTCTTTTTCATTAACACCTTCTTAATTTACAGGAGACTCACTATGAGATTAAATTTAGTCTAGATACTATTAAAAATAGTAAAAAAACCCCAAGTGAACACACCCCACCCCACTTTCTAAAAAAAAAACCCAGCCAAACCAAGGCCCCTGTAAATTCCATGTGTTTGACCACATGCTAACATAATTTTGGAGCTGTAGGTTTTAGTATTGTTGGCTTTAATGAACATGGTAAGGGACTCTTAAAGAATATTTTTTTATATCTGAGGGAGGAGAGAATGACACAGTCTGAACTTAGTTCAGCAGCAATCCTTTGCATGTGCTCTGCCAGGGTTAATTGGGTTGTAAACAGGAGTAGTTACCTCTTGCTGAAACAGAGCTGATCACCTCTGGAAAGCACCACATACTTCTCCCTGAGGAGCTGCGTAGTGTCAATTGAGTTCAGCTACAATAGCCTTTTCCCAGTTAAATGAGAAAAAATAACAATGCCGTGGAGCTCCATTTTGGGCTTTGCAGGAGGAAAGATACACCGTAATGGTTTATCACAATGCTTCCTGACAGAATAGATTTTAGATTCTTTGGTAACTGAAGCAGAGATGCAGGAATAACTGTTTTAGGAATTTTTAAAAGTTTTGGTGGGGATTATGAAATTAAAGTAATTGTTACCATTGTAACCATGTAATTGTGGGCCATCTCCATCCCTTGGATTTAGCAGTTGAAGATGTCCTATTCTTCTTTTCTGTGAGAACATGGACATGTCTTATTGCTCATCTGTGTCTAGCCACATGCTATGTTGAAAACCAAGGCCATGTGATATGGATTTCCAATGAAAAAGCTTTTTTTTTTTTCATCTTCTGTCTGTTGTGTCCTTCAGGATGGCTGGGAGTCAAGTGTCTGCTGAGGACAAAAGTCTAGCTTTAAGGAGTGCTTCTTATGAGATGTTATTCCAAGTCTGCTTTATTTTTTAGGTGACTGGGCAGTTGTCTGTAAACTCTTTGTGTGCAGTTTCATGATACATTTAATCTGCTCTAACAGGCAGCTGCTGAAAGGATCACATTGATCTGACAGCGAGCTAGTTCTTCTGCCGGGTCAGTTTTCTGCTGGATCAGATTCCCTGTTTGACTTGCTGCATGGCTTTGTGATTGATAGGTTTGATGAGAGGAAGAGGCTCTTCCGATTAATGCCTAGATGCTTATATTTTCTGGAGTGGGAGAAAAACACTGACTGCTCTCTGTAAATGTATAGCGTAAAGAGGAAACTTTTACATTTAAATCAGATTAATACAGGCTGTCCATATATAAAAGCATGTAGGCGTTAGAATGGGATTCCTAATTATTAGGAAAGGAGGATCCAACCAACCTTCTGGCACTAGTTACAGAGATAAGAACTGTAATTGCTATTAAAGTAGAGCCAGATTTAAATTAGTGAAGAACCTGGGAGATCTCTAAGATTTAAATGCATTCAAATGCTCAGTGGATTTTAATGTGTGGAGGGGATTTTGTTGTTTTTTTTTTTTTTTTTTTTTTTTTTGTTAGATGAATATGACTTGGCTTAAAAAAATAGCACCTAATAAAAGCAATATTGTGAGAGGTGTTCTTAAGCAGTTTGGGTTCATAACCAAGTATTCAGAATAAAATAACTGAAATAGATTTCTTTGCATCTGTCATGTACATATGAGGTTTTTTCCTTAGAAGCAATAGAAATCTTCACAGAACAAGCATTTAAATGGTAATCAGCATAACACTTTATTCAGTTTTCAGTTTTAAAATCGTCTTTCTACCTTTCAAATTGTAATGAGCCCTGCATCATGTAGATGAGATAAAGCAGCATTAAGTCTTGGTCAGTTTTTTTTTGTTTTATTTAGGGTGGTGTTTTTTTTTTTTTTTTTTAGGGGGGTTTTTTTTTTTTTTTTTTAGGGGGGTTTTTTTTTTTTTTTTTTAGAGGGGTGTTTTTTTTTTTTTTTTTGTTTAGGTATGATCAAGTAGCTTTGACTTTATTTCGGAAAACTACTTTGGAGTTGATGCTTCTCTGCCAGACATAACTTATTGTCATCCTGCATTGATGGATGGTGGATTCTGTTATGGAGAAGCAGTGGATTATCTTGTGATTAGGTTGGGTACTAGTTTCCATTATAAAATTGTATTTTTCTCTCCTGCTGCAACTGTCTTGGAAAATTATTTGGGCTGGGAAACAACCAGAATTAGATTGAAATAAAGGGTTACTTTTGTGAGGTGGATTATCTATATTGGCTGCAAATCACTAAAAAGTTACCTTAGTTGAACTTCTGTGTTTGTCTATCTTTTTTTCTAACTTTGAACTTGGAAATATCTTGTGGTTTGTTGCCTCACAAGGTGCAGTGTTGCTAAGTCAAATGTGTTGGGATTTTGAGTAGAACAAGTTACTATGTGAGCCTGTTCTGCTGATTCTATGGCTCTTATTATAAGCAGCCTGAGAATCGCTTTTGGTTAATGGCTCTGGGGTCTTTGGTGGTGTTTCCAGGGTGTTATTTACTTTTTTTTTTTTTTTTCTCTCCTGCTGCATTTTAGCTGTATTGCTAATAGCACTTTGTCTGACAGAGAATAGACTCTCCTATATTTGTTGTTATCAGAGATCTTTTACTATCTCTGTTTATGATCCTCAGGAACCCATGTTCACATTGGTAGTGATGTACACTGTTTTGAAAAGCCTTTGTAGTTAGAGGTAAACTTACAGTTCTGTGTTGTTCTTCTGTTATTCAGATGCTCATGTCTCATTCACATTTTCCAAAATGTCTTATCCCTGTGCTGAATCAGGATTTTTTTTTCAAACATTTGAAGGTCTTTCTTTTGCAGTAGTTTTTATGTATCTGCTGTAAAGTAAATCACACTGTACTGAATGAAATACCACACTAACAACTAAAGCTATGGCAAAATTTCGTATTTGCTCTTGAAAAACCTCCATAATTCTTGCATGAGAATCTGCATAATTTGATAAGTAATACTTAATGCTACCTAAGGTCTTTTTACCAAAACTTTTTGT